ATTAACATTTAACTAAAATGTACAAAATAACAAAATTTTGTAGTAACCTTAACAAACGTTCAATTTGTAACGGTCGCGACTAATGATCGGGGAATGGTGTAAATGACTATAGTGACACATAATTTGGTTTTATTTCGTTACGTATTGTCAAACATTTTCAGGTTTAAATCTACGCACTTTCAACTGTTTGTATGACGTACATAAAATTTTATACTCTGTAATAATTGTATTTTACAGAATATTCACATTTATTTTATGTAACATAAAAATATTATAAATAAAAACCAATATGTACATGTGAAATCCATCATTAAGAAATGTTGTTTTAATAAAAATTGAAACAACATTTCTTAAAGTTTTAAATGTTCCAAGTAAATAATCGTCTTCTTCTTCTTCTACCTGGCAATTTCCCAGCCATAGCCAGGCTCTGCCTTACTTGTTGTGAATAGTTTTTGGCTATTTGTTTTTACGACCGGCCGCCTGCCTGACGTCAACCCTCTTTTGGGAATCAAAATTAATCAGTGATGTCTAAATACTCTTAGAAAGTACATATGATTCGGAAAAATCACATTGGTACTTGCCCGGGCCAGGATCGAACCCGCGCCCTCGGCGACGAGAGGCGGGCCCTTTAACCACTGAGCCACCACTGACTTTCAAGTAAATAATAATAGTACGAAACAAAATTTTTAATAACATAAAATTATGGTAATCAAATGTGTAAGTTAAAGTGAAAAATGAAATATTCGCTAAAAAATAATAATAAAGACAATAAAGCAGTGAATAGTAGACATTGAATACTTTAAATATTTCAAGCACTTTTATTATTTATCTACGATTTCCTGTGGATGAAATTTCAGATCTATCGATGTTTTGAGTGAGTGCCAAAATGCGTCTGGGTGCTGCAAAACGTGAGTTGCATTATGGAATTCATGAAATTGAATTTCGATTCTATAAATTCTTTAAGTTGGACCAAATGATAAAGGCGATGTTAAAATACGTAAAACAAAATCTTGGTCTAACCTTGTAAAGCCTAAGATTTTCACATTTATTGTTAGACTAGTTTTTGCCCGCGACTTCGTCCGCGTTAGTTTCGTAATTAGTAATATATGTATAGCTGACCGGGCGAACTCTATTCCGTTTTAGAGGCCATTAATAATCAGGTTTCTCCTGTTTCAATCGAACAGAATGATTGACATATTAGTTAGTTGTCAAATCTAATGTCAAAAAAAACGTCTGTATGGGAAATAGAAAAGGGCTGTTTTTAGGGTTTTCCCGGCAATTATTCCAATTTTTCTCACCTTTTAAACCTTCCCTGGACTTCGAGGAGTATTTCAAGACTAAAATTAGCCAAATCCGTTCAGCTGTTCTCGAGTTTTAGCGAGACTAAGGAACAGCAATCCATTTTTATATATATAGAAGATTACAATTATTTGTTTTACTTTCATAAATTTCCTTTGTATTTTCAACCTTAATAACTGATATATATTTTTAAATTAGGATGTTTCAATTGTAAATAGTTTTTTATTTCAACTTGTTATTTCCACCTAATTAAATAATTACTGAATGTAAATGTTGTATTTCAAATGCTCATATTATTTTAATATCCAAAATAAAATAAATATATATTTTTAACATTTATGAAAACCTAGATAATTTTCTTTAAAAAAGTGATGGCGAGATTAATCAGTTTAAAAACCGAAAAAATACAGATGACATTTGTAGTGTGAGGTTTCCATGCCAACAACAGGTGAAGTGGTGGTTAACTGTAATGATTGTGTAAATAAAATATGAAGTAACTGAAAAAAGTGAAAAATGGAATAAATACTTTGCATTGAACGTGAAATAAGTTATTATTTTATCATGTAACTATAAATAGATTAAGTTTATTTTCCATTTTTATGCGGCAAAAACTTTCTCTTCGTCAATTTTAACTCTATATGAATCAGAAGTTCTTTATAAAGTCAAAATATTACAAAGAAAAAACAACCTTATCTTAGGATTAACATTTACATCTTACAATAAACCTCTTACACTGATTCAAGAATTCACAAACCTGAATATTTCATAAGAATTTCAACCTTCTACCCTTTTGCGTTTCTAAAAAGAGATTTCGACATATGTATTTATAAATACACAAATAAACGGACATCCGATCTATATAAGGGTTATGTTTTTATCTGATTGCATTAGGGAACTTTGTAAATTTTCATTGTTTTATTAAGAATTATATTAAATCAAGAGTTCCTTAACTAGCTTATAACTGTCTACCAAGTGTCAGATATTTTCTCTACCAGCTGTCTCAGTAATAGTTGATTATTCTTTTTGATATCTTTGTTATGGACCTTATTATCAAGCTTTTTGCTTCATAGCCGTTTTTATAATTTATCCTTATTATGTATTAGTACCTTCTTTTACGAGTTCTCTTAAATAAATAATTTTATCCAACTTTTTGTTTGAAATTTTCATATTGTTTAATAATATAAAATCACATTTATTTTGATATCATTATTTTTATTTATCATTAACTGAAATAAAAAATGTTTTAAAAATAAAAGAATGTATGTTTTAAATAGAAAAGTTATATTTGCACAAGATATTAAATACCTCTTGGAACCCTAAAGCTAATTCTAGTACGTACCGTAATAAATAGAAGCCATAAAAATGTTTTTGAACATAAAAAGTCATATTGGTATTGTTGTATATATGTACAATTTTTAAACGTTTAGTGCAAAGTTATTATTATAAAATTTAAATGTGATTATACTTCAAAGTTTTCGATCATTCATTTGTAAATAAAAACGTAATTCTATTTTGTCCACTACTACAGAAATCGTTTCGTGCGAATATTTTTTACTTAATACTAATAACTTGTTTAATAACGAGTTCAATAACTGGGTTTCTGCCAAAAACAACTCTTAACTGGCGAAAAATACTTCAAAACTTTTTATAATTTATGAGTAACGAATGTACACTCAGTCGACACTTTCAGCATTCGTTCAATGTATCGGAGAAGAATATTAAATCAGAACAAAAGACGGCTTTTATATAGATTTACAAAAAGATAAAAACCCTATTTTATTGTAAAGGTTTATAGCTTATATACATTCAGTTTGTTGTTTAATAATATGATTTAGATATAGTGTTAATAGTATCAAATGCAACAGTGAGAATGAAAGGGGTAAAATGTAATGAAGGCTGTTATAATGTCAAGTGAATATCTAGAACGCTTTCCTTCTTGTAAATTTAAGAGTACAAAAAGTCAGCTTATGTTCTTTTGATCTTCCATAGGTTGGAGGACTTCTGTAAGTTTCAGATTTTCGACAATTCAATTTGTTCGAAGTCAAGTCAATCTAGATTGTAAGGAGACTATTGAAGAGTAAAACCAGTTCCGTAACTGTACCCGTGAATATCAGTATATTATCGTGCTTTACTTAGCAAACTCTAAACATTTAAATGTTATAAAAAAACATTAATTTTAATTTAATGTAATTTTCAAACCGGAATATTTTCTTTTTCATTTCTTCTGGTGTGCTGGAATGACTGAAAGTTACTGGGTTATTTTTGTCTTGAATAAGTAAAATGAGTGTTAAAACAAGATATACATGTCATCTATTACGTTTCCATCAATGAAAGAGTTTGCTATAATATATAATCTGAAAAAAAATAAAATTTACTTCGATACAATCCCACTATGATGCATAATGTCGGAGGTGGTGTGCAATATCAGCTTTTGCTATTTCGGCTATCGGCTTTTGCTATTAAATACATAAATTTAAAAATAAATATTGATGGGGGTATAAGTCCCACCGAACCCTTAAGTTTATTCTAGAACTGTATTTGGTGAGTATTATAGGAGTATAAGAGTAAGCGCGTTACAATCGATTGCTATTCGAAGTACTTCTTGCCAATAATAATAGATTGAATAATATATAAACCACTGGCCTTCAGAGTCAACGGGGAATGATCTTAAAATAAATTTAAAGTATTTTATAATAGACTTGTACTGTTTGTTTTGACTAAAGTTTTTGATACTTAGAAATATGGGAAAAAGTAAAAAGTAAAAGAAAATCTAATTCTACAGGCTTTAAAGGAAACTCTATTAATAATAATTTTCCATGTATATTTAACTTTCATAGTGTCGTAATAATAATTACATTTATTTTAGTATCACAGTTCCAAAAATGTATAATAAAGTACACTGATTAAACTTATACTTATAGTCTTATATCTAGAATTACAACAACAGAATAGTTTTTATTGATTAATTTAGATGATAAATGTACAAAAATATAAGTAAAACACAGCAGCAAATAAATTTACCTATTTTAAATAAGCATAACACTTCAAAAGAAAATTAAAAATATATAGGAAAGATATTAGGTATACGTGTAGTCAATTTATGATATGGCAAGATTTTTTCTTTATATTTCAATAATATTTTAATCAATCGGGCCCTTAATTAAACAGTTTCGTGGTTTATTATATTGTGTATCATATATTTCCAAAGGACTATTTTAGTAATTACCGTTACTTGATGAGTTATACTTATAATAAAATAATTTTTAATGCACATCTGAAAAAAAAACTATTTAAAATTATATACTTCTTTATTGATTTGTGAAAGTAAATCCAAATGACGTATTGAAGCAATAGCACATAGTATTTACATAAAATTTGATTACAAGTTCATTTATGAAACATTATTTTAATGGTCTTCTCAAGTAATAGATTTTATTAACATTAAAATAGACATACAGGTAAAATCAATGTGCTTTCGTCATTGATTGCAACCGGGACAGAATCAAATGTTCAAACATTTTCAACATTCCCCACAGGAACACTTAACACTTACCAGATGAACCACGTTTCAACGTTATGTTTTGTGCGAACGTTACGTGGGATACTGAGTTACATGGGATTAGTTTGTTAAGTTACAAATTTCACATTATGGCGACTATCTAATTAAGTAGAAGATTTTCTTACAAAATTAATAATTGTTGCTACCTGAAACAAAGATATTCGTATTTAAGTTACTATTTTAAATAAATTCTTATGTTAAAATACACAATTTTAACCTATGGGCAGCGCATTTGCACTTGCATCTCGTGAGAAATGGAAGTTAAAGTTCCAGGTGAAACACTATACATCAGAAGTCTGATACCGGAGGGATATTTCGCTACAGCGTACTATCGTGAGGTAAATAGTGCATTGAAAATACAGTTTTCTACTTTAATAATCCATGAAGGATTGTATGTAATGTGATTAATTGTATTTACAATTTAAAATTTTAATTTATCCTACACTGTTAATATGTCTCTAGCTAGGTTTGATTTGATAAAATTTTATATCTTAATTTTGATTTACATTTATTTGTGTGATGTCATAATTGCGGTAACATGGGATACCTAAGATACTGAACATGGACACCTTTAATGTATTCTTACGATATGGACATCAAATGAATGGGTTCATTGAATATAGCTTAAGGAAAACGATAAAAAACTTCTTTATCTTTATAATTATCCCATGTTAACATTGTTGGATTAAGTGAATAATTATTTAACAGCATCAAGTTATGAAAGCTCTTAAAAATAGTTTCCCAAAGTTATAGCATAAAAGGATGTGGGATCTGGATGTTACAAGTTATACATTTTTTATTGGTACCCTATTTTTAGGTTACCGAGGTTTGCATATTTTAATAAATTAAATTCAGTTAAAATCCATATTTCATCTGACTTATGAATAAATTCCATAGTTTTCGTATCTGAATATCGATATTATTAATATGAGCTGTCAGGCAAGTGATAAAATGGCATTTTTAAAATAGAAGTATTATCTTTTGCAAGAAAATTTACATAAATATTAAATTAGAAAGAATGTTAAGAAAACTAAAAATTCATTGGTATGAGGAACAAAAAATCAAACCATAGTACATAAAAATGCTAAAATTTTCTGAAAATATAAACAATAGTAAATAGGCACATTTTTGGACGTTACTGTAAAAACAGATAGTACTGGGGATGGTATCAGTGCATCTAGTAAAGAATTATAATTATAAATTCTTACATAAACATTAGACAAAGATCTTCTTAATCTGGTCAGAGTTGTCAAAGTGTATAATTAATTAAATATGTAATATAATTAAATATGTTAAAAAAATACCTTGGGTAAGTAGCATGGACATCGGGCCTCACAGGTATATGAGTGCGTGTGTAGGAATGTGGCGACATAACCGTGGCGTTAATTGCTCGTATGCGTGCCCGCAGCCTCTCGTATTGGTCCGGCTGATATTGAGCTGCGATAGTAACGGCGCTCCCCGAATACTGCTTTTGATGTTTTACAAAAAAATATATATAATTAAGTAGTATGTATGTCTATTTATTTAATTTTACATATGAATGAAATATTCAATTTGTTTTAAGAGTTTTATTCAACTATATCATATAATTTATATGATTGAAATTGAGTTAAGATGCATATTTCAGAAATATTGGAGTAAAATATCATCGCTCTAGGTTGATATAGATTAATTTCGTGAAAAGAATATAATATTTCAATTCAATTATACCTTTAATGCTGCCGCTGCTTGTTCGTGAGTAGCTCGAGTCAGATCACGGCCATTAACACTGAGTATTCTATCACCTCTGTGCAATAATCCGTAAGCTGCTCCTTCTGTTGACACACCAGATACAAATACGCCACAAGTGTCATCTTCAACGCAGTTTCCATCTACTTCTCCGCCCAAACCGCCAACTATATCCATTCCTAGTCTTGAACCAGTACGCACTAAGCGAACCATACGTACACATCTATGTACATAAAAGGAATAACAGATTATAAATGTGACCATATTTCATCTTAATGAATGAATTTGTGAATTCTCAAAAGTTTATTTATATGATATGATGACTTCTTTTATGATTTGATAATGACATTTCGCTTCAACTTCAACAATTTTAAATAGAAATTTTTCAAACTTAATGTTTCAAAGTACTCATTGTTTTGTAATTTTAGACTATATTACAAAATAAGAAATAAAATGTTCTATTTATAGCTGCTTTTACAATTCATGTTATATTAATATTACAGTACGTTAGATAAAATGTAAAAACATGGTCAGATTTCTTAGATCGTAACTAGCCCTGGCTGTACGGACAAGATCTTATTCAATTATACTACTGAACTACAATAGATATTTATATCGATTGAAATATATTATTACCGTGGTATTTTATTAAGTTCCTCTTCAGAGAAATTATGAAGTGTTGAACAGGATGTTGCTTGTGTTTTCGCTTAAAAAAAATAAAAGAAGATATTCTTAAGTACGTTATATATTAAACTTATGTATATATTGTGTCAATACGAAATTTTGTTCCAAATGCTACATTTTTTTTATAAGTTTATTGACCACTTAGATCGTTATCGAATCCTCTTTGATAAAAATAATATTTTAGTCCTTTAGTGGTTATAAAAAAACATAAAAGTAGTTTACAACACAACTTAAACATAAATGTTTAATATACTTGAAGCACTTTTTAAAATATTTTTTGGAATTTGAAATAGTGTTTAAAATATTTTTGGATTATTATAATAAATTTTTACTTATTACACCACAGACATTCATATTGAATGTGTATAGATTAATCTTAATGTTATTTAGTATGTTAGTGTTCACTACCAGAACTAAAAAGTTTGAAAAATTTTCTTAACTTATAAACTCACTGGAATAAAGAGGAGCAGTTCTGGCGACTGGTGGAATAGATCCTGCAGCTGGTAACACTACCAAGGTGACATGGTCTCCTGTACTACGTAAGGCTGAGACAGCACACGCGTGGGTTACTCCTATAAGGGATGTTTCCATGCCCTGTTAGAAAAAGAACACTATATTTCGTCTGACTTAAGGAGAAAAGTCGGTCTGTTTGGTAATTACGTCTTTATGTCCTTCGTTATATTTGTTTTCGGTAAATAATTTTTATTATCAACCTACCCACTTTTGTTAGTAAGAACGGCTGTCATTTGTGGTGAACAAAATTGAACGCTACATACTAAAATACTGACATTGATATGGACTGGCTGCCTTCCTCAAAAACTTATATATTTTTTAAGTGAGCTTAAAAATATTTCTATTTATATTTCACTGAGAAGGTAATTCTCTGTTGTTATTCTCTGAGAAGGTCATTCTCTATTAGGTCTGCTACGAGTCGTTTGTTAAATATACATAAAATTACTTTATATCTTTAACATGTCGAACTAATTAACATAACGATAAAATATTTCTTCATATTTCTATAATATAATCATATATATAATATATATTCGGCTTGTAGCACATTAGAGAGGCCTCAGATCTCCGTCGAGACAAGCGAGAGGACTCGCCCGTCTCCTAGCACCAGCATCCACTGATACCACGTGGACCCGATACTGGTTCATTCAGTATGAGAAGTCCATCAATTCATTATACATATACAAGAGACGGAGTCGTGATGCGAGCCGGGCCGGTACGACCGCGGGGCCTCGCGGACGAGAGAGGGGTTCACTTATTATACAATGACAATATTTTCATGAGATTCAATTATTATTTGGATGCGACCCCTCCCTCGGCCGCACCGAGCCCGCCGGCGACCGACCGCAGCTCACGTGACACACAACAAATATAACAAACAATTCTTTAATATATCTTATTAGTATCTTAACGTTTAAATTCGTGGAATGCACTTAGAAGTCATGGAGCTTAAGTGATAACATACATATATATTATGGAGTATATATTTAATTATGTATATGTAATAATAATAATAAATAGGACGTTTAGCTTTGTTTTAGATATCGCTGTAACCCGGATTGGGTCGTCGTTAGTCGTTAAAGAGAGGTGGTGCAATGGTGCGAAGGTATCAAAATAGGAAACAACTCGAGTGCGCATGTTTAGCACTATGCCTGAAATGTGACCCAGGCCGCTAGTTTTATGGATCAGCTGTATTGAAAGGTACTAAAAATTTGCCATATTAGCAGCGTTATTGAGATATTCAAATAAATATCTCGTTTCTTAGTCACAGACCACATCATACTGATTAACACTATACCTACTCAATAGTGTATCTTAGGTATGAAAGGTAAGTTGCGTTATAAGACAGCCTGTGCAACTGAAGGTAGGATAGGTAAGTAGATAGGCCCTTGTTCACGGTTGCTGAAAAATAGCCGAAACGTCGGGAGTGGATAGTTTTTATCAAAAATCAAGTCGCGTAGTATATTCGAAAAATATTAGATTCATTTAGCTTTAAATTGTTTGCTTGAATTGAGGTCAGAGACTAACACGGAGTCTTTCGATCTGGTTGCTAAACAGTGATCGAGATTTTCTAGTATTGTGTACAGCTGGTGGGTCAGGCTTACAAGAGTGGTGAGGAAGATAAGTGGGCTCCCTAACTGTGGGAACTAACTACGAGAGGCAAGTGGAGCAACAGTCTTTGGAAACCGTTTCTTTAATTAAATACAATACAGCAAAATCGTGGCTCAAATTTAAAGTAAAATTGTTGATATCCACCTTTCATGAGGCTGTAATAGACAAGATATTGTAACCCAACAAATATAATAGTGGCATGACTTTGTCTGATAGGAAGTAATTATGTCGGGGCCAAAATTATGACCCCCGTACTAGAAATCATCCTTGTTAAATTTATATAATATACGTATATGCCATAAGCAATGTCCGGACAACCATCCCAAAAAAAACTTTTGATCACGACAAGGGTATCTTCTACTTCATTAATCAACATTCAAATAATTCTCGCTGGATATTTAGTTACATGTACTTCAACAGTTTCCTACTCAATTCACTTGACTGACCTAATCGATTGGCGCGAATGGATTCTCACAAAACATTTCTTATGTTTGTCTATTCATTATGTACCTTTATTTAAAAAATGTAAAATATTATTTTTTCCAAATTGTCTTACATTTTTAATATTCAAAAACATACTGGTCCATTTAACGTAAAGTATATCACAAAAAACTATACCAATAATCTCTGAAATCGCAACACAAGACAATGAAAACATACTAACAAATCTGTTTTGTGCTTACAATTGCAAAGAGAACGTTGATCTACTTTATTAGATGCACGAATTTATTGGCTTATGGTTTTTGTATCGCTGTCACAATAAAAATAAATAACCGCATAGACTTGTTTTTCAACTTCATTTCGAGTTTTCTTTGGATATTTTTGATAAATAAACATAAACCACAAACGCTCCTTCAAAATCATACACAGAATCTATAACAAATAGTTATAAGAAAGTTATATGTTCTTATTTAATATTGACTTACATGTTCATCTCTTACAGCTAATATTTTATCGCCTAATTTCAGTCTGCCGTCATGGTGAGCGGCGCCGCCCACAGCTATGTGTGATATAAAAATTCCCTCGCCCCCTGCGTCGTCAGCCCCTCCAGCTATACCTAAACCGAGACCCCGAGCACCCCGGCAGAGTGTCACAACCATCGGTCTTCTTGCTCTTCGAACTCTCTGAGAGGTATTAATTACATAAAATAATAATTACCAGTAATGTAATTTTCGCGAGTACTCCTTTAAATGATACTAATATTCTCGGATTTACTACTACGTAGTAAAGCAAAAAATATTAGTTTAATTTTAATACTTAACAGCTTTTAAGTCATAAAAATAAAAGACAATTAAATAAAACTCAATGTAACTTATGATAAGTCTTAAGATGCAACAACGCTTAACAACTCCACTTACTAGATTGCAGAATATAACAAAGTGGCTTTACTTACTAATCTGACGACATTTCCAGCTTTTTGTAATGCGTCTACTGCTACTGAATGCGGTGCACCTTCCACAGAAATGTCATTGACCTAATAAAATAATAAAAGTAGATTTTATGACTAATAACTTCTCAAAAAGATATCCAAAATATTTTCCTTTAACAATTTATAAGATAAAAAATATAGTTTTGATACATTCAATTAAATTTTAAGAATAAAATAATATTATTTATTTGAATCATAAAACATTCAAATATAATAATTTAACTAATATGTTTTGAGTAACAACAACACGATGTCAAATTCATAATCGTTTATTCCAGTTCACAACGTAGACGTTGTCAAAACAAATATATTACCAATATAATTTATATAGTTAAAATAGTACAGTTGTTATTTACTGTCGACTGCATCCTGGCAAAATGCCATATCGGTAAAAGCAAGCAAAACAGACTCCGCCTTATTCATTCTACTCCGGCAGGTTGTAACTTAATGTTAGAGTTTGCTTTGCTTTTGTTCAACATAAAAAAGAACGTTTGTGCAAAAAAGAATGTTTTTGAATTCGACGTGACTGTTATTTCATTTTGTTTTGTAATTTTATGGTTAAAATTCCACCTTATAGTATGTCTTATAGAAAAAATATTCATCTTGCAGATTAGTAAGAAAGTTCATTGAAGAGACTAAATAAAAATATTCGTTTTCAAACCTTGTAGAAAATTTGCACAAATTAATAAATTTTACATAAAATATAGTGACAGTTTCGAAATAACTATTAATTAAGTACCGATACACAGCTTGATCTTATACGATCATATTAATTCAAACTAATCTGTTTGAAGTGGTATCAAATTGAAACATAAGCAATAAGCACTTCGCGGTTGCTGAACGCCTCAACTAAATTAGAATTTAATTTCAAACAAAGAGTTACGTTTATGTAATCTTATAAGATAACACTTTAATGTTATAAATCTGAATTTACATTGTATACATTAACTTAAAACAAATTAAACTCAGAAAAGTACTTTTATTTTTGAATAATTTGAAACTCGGTATTAACAATTTCAAATTGACTTGCAACTGTTGCTGAATCGTTTTAATTTTATCATTTTATTTCTTTTGTTATAAAATTCAGTGTTTCACCACTGACTGGAATACGTTCACGTGTTTAAAAATGTATAGAGTAAGGTAAACGAATTTCTTTAAACCAATATACATTTTTAAAAATACGGTATAGCGTCCAGCGCAGTGCTCGCCTATTGTGTTCTGTTTAAATAATAAATAGGAGGAGAAAAATTTACCTGTAGTAGAATGTCGCCTGTCTGAAGCCGGCCGTCTGCCTTGGCAGCGCCGTTGGGTGCAATTCTAGTTATGCTGATGTCACCTCCACTTTCGCTGCCGGCGATGCTCAACCCTAGACCACTTGCCCCCCTCTCTAACGTCACATCCGTTGTTTCCCATACATCATCCGGATTTGACGTACTGTGATGCATTAAGTACTGCGGATTTAATAAAATTATATAAAATCGATTATTTCAGGGAGTATCAAATAATTTAATTATTTTTGATAACGGATAACTACATATTAAAATAAATGTTATGCATACAATAAACAAATGTTATAACATTTTGATCTTGTTTATTTATTTTATCAAGTGTTGATCAAAGTATTTCATTAAGGAAATATGTAAGGTTTCCACGTAAAGTGATAAATGAACAGAAAATTGGCGTCACAACCCTTATCCTTACTCAGATTACATGAAAGAGATTTTCTTATAAGTTTCCTCGAACTTCATTAGTTAATACATATGTAGTATCACATATATTCTTATAACAATAAAACATGGATGACTAAAAAAAGGTAAATAGGTGTCCATGATAAAAATTACTTATTTATCTTCTTATTCCTCAATACTATTTCATTATTATCTCTGGAATTAGTTAATTAAAATTTAAATCTTATCCATACTCAGATAAACAGTAGAAGAAAATTTTAAATATTGAAACAAGAAAATGAAGTTTAATCAATTGGAACAATTTTTTGAAATGCCTTTCTATCTACAAAAGGCATGTTTCAAATAAAGAAAATGGTGGATTTCAGTCAATGGCATAATAGAGTACCTGATAGCTTCCTGTGATCTTTTGCCCGTTTTCCGGACTAGTAGACTGTTCACAAACGCTTTCGTAGTTAGTAACGTTTGCTGAAAATAAAATATGAGATATAAAACGATGATTGGATTTTAATAATTCACTGGTTCAATACAAGGTACACAATTCTAGTTATTTGTTTGTAAATAATCATAAACGATTACTTCATAATACGATATTTATGTAAATAAAAGTTTAATATCAATAAAAAACCAATTTAAAACCATACTTCGATTTTTAAATATTTTAATGTTTTTATTAATTACATAACATAAATGAATGTCAAGAAGAAAAACTTATTTTCCAGGACTAAGATAATACATGGTACTTAAATCTAAGGTGAAAATTTAATAGAAAAGTCTTATATTATGAACAAACATCAACATTGTTCCTCATGATTTGATAATTTTCGTCACAAAAAGATTCTGTAAAAAACGCTTCTAAGCCAGATCATAAATCCCGAACAGAAGGAATATGGGGTCGTAAATTAATATGGTTAATAATTTTTGGGTTAAGATACTTTTCAATTTTAATATAATACCACATAAAATTCGAGATCTTTCACTTTAGTGAAAGTAACGATCAAACGTAGATAAAGAATTTTGTGACCTGTCATAAACGTTCTTTGCAAATAGAGCACGGTGTACTTGGAGTTTTAAAGCTCACATGTTCATTTTGTAGGTTAAGTGCAGTAAAAACATAATGAATGTCATAAAATCGAAATGCTTACATTTTTGTCTGTAGCTAGGGAGATGTTATTCACGGTTTTAGAGAAAGTGTATTATTAAATGTTAAAAATACAGCTAGAAGTTGCTGTGGTAAAGTTTTCTTTATACATACATATGTATATATAGCGAATATCCGTCACAAGGCGGTCGCGTGGGAAATATCGCTGAGACTTTTTACATATTCTTATTTTAGTTTAAAGAATAATACGGTTAAGTTTACCTTATTTAAAAGGATACTATGTAAAATTTTATATTTTAAAAAGAATTGTAATACCAGTTTAAAAGTATGTATAAAATATTGAACTTTATTTTTAAGCACGTTACACACACAGTAGAATATATGTGATGTAGATTTCTCTTGATAAACAAAAACGTTTATTAATAGGAGATGTTAAATTGCGTCTTATACTATAAATGACATGTTCAATAGATATATGTAGTATTATGAAGACTAACATTTTTTCTTGTATTTTAAAGATTTAAATTCAATCCTTAAATATTCTTGATACCATAAATTCTTATTAAATTACCGAAGAAATCTATGACTCATCCATGATTCCATAGTTTGTTCTCACTTAGCATCTAAGAGCGCGGAATCAAAATAAAATTTACATTTAAAGTGCATCGCTGCTGGCGTTACTTTAAAATTTAAGTATTTAGAAGTGAAGCTCTTACCCAGATCGTATTCTAAGTTTTTCTATGTATGAAATAGCAAGTGATAAATTGGAGTAGCGTGTTTAGTTTACTTCTAAAATTCCGTAAAGTTTTGTTTCACTTGGTTTATTAATCGATACATGTACATTTAGCCGAAATGTCTACTTCTAATATTAAAATAATGGCTTCTTTCAAAATACATAAAACTGTATGCCTGGTTCATGATCGAAAATTTTAGTTTTTTATTGTTATGTATCTATCTGTCTATTCTTAATTTTTAAAACGGCTAAAACAATATTGATAAGACTTTCAGTAGCAAGGAAATGAAAATGATGACTACTATAGGCTTTTTTTTAATTTTAATTTTTGGTTTTTCTATTAATAAATAGAATACAAAACCTTGCGTCTCGCTATCCTTAATTTTAATTTAATATTTTGGTTTGTGTTTCATATACCTTACCTTTTTAATGGTTAGTTTATTGTTTAAATATCTGTGGGAGATAGTTGTTGTTATTCAATAAAGACTCTCCCTCGGTCAAAGAGCCCTATGATCCGGTCCTTTCGACTTATCCCTCTCTTAACTGATAGTATGAGAATCTCATACTATTAATTCGGTTACATCATTTTCAAAACGTCTTTTCGACCTTACCCTTCTCTTGCTGAATGGCCCTCTGTACCTTGTAGTATTAATTGTCCACCTGATATTCTAATATCTCAATATGTGACTCACCAATTCAAAATTGGAGTCGCTGTGAGAGAATCTGTCGTCTTTGTTTTCAAACATTTTGTATTTTATTCGCTGATTGTTTTAGTTTCGATCCTTTGTTAATTTTAATTGTATCTATAAAATAAGGAGCTATATACTAGAAAATGTTGTATACAGATGTCTTTTTATAATTTCATTCAGTGACCAGAAGTTGTTCTAGAAAAATTATATTCTTCATATAGCTTTCAAAATGATTATTTAGGTTGTGCAGATGTGGTTGTGAAAATATTTTTTGACAACAGTGTGATTTTTTTTTACAATTTTGTCTGATATATGACTTGTGACTTAGTTTTAGCTTCACTACGTTTGTCTAAATTTACTTCCTTAAATGCTTTCTTTTAGTTACAAATTAATTCGGATTTTCAGTCAAGTAAAGGAAATTATTCTGATAGTTCAATTATTATCCTATATAAGAGCATCGCCCATGGTCTGACCTGCAGGTTAAGTTTTGTTTGTTGCGGGCATGTTGTACGGAACGGCCCACAATCCGCCCTGACTTCCAAATCCAATTACTATATATAAGATTAATTATCAAGTAAGATAAGCTTATCGCATTTAATGCTGGTAGAATAACCCTTTCCCTTTCAGCTTTTAATTATTACTGTAGCTTTCCTATTATTGCAGGACTAATCGGACTATCTTTTTGTATAATAATACAATATTTCTTTTAGAATTCCTGTATTTTTTAGGTGTTTATGTTCTAGCTACACATTGTAATCATAATAACTATTAGTCATGACTTTGAATATGCCTTCTTAGTATTTTGATCGCTTGTATATATGGTTAATTTAATTTTAGAATTTTTTATGAATAAATTCTTTTATAGTGTTCCCTGATATTAAATATGATTTTCCATGTGAGTTCGTCTAGGAGAAGAATACTTTAGTTTGTCTTGAATCTCAATACAAACGACAATGTATATTTCTTAATTTCCATCCTCAGCTTCTGATCGCATGTTTTTTTCTTAAATTTTCGCTTATCAAGTCGGGCGCTACATTTATTTTTTAATATATTAAAAGATATTTTGGTCAGTTTATTTTGCACCAAACATTACCTTTTAAATGTTTCCCTTATACATCAATTGGAACAATGTTAGAGAAATAAAATGATAAACAATTTAATAACTTATATTCGATATATATATACTCGTTTCTAAATGTTTCTCATTATTATTATTTTCGTCGTTAATTGATTTTTATTAGCTGAAAAGAACCTTTGCTAAATTTACTTTTCCTCTTCATTACTATATTAAGACCATTATTCTTTATTTCAAAATCGAACAAGGAAAGTAATTAGAGACTTTATTAGCTTGCTTTTCGTACGCACAATATTTCCTTGCCAAACAACTATAAATTTAATTTTATTTATGTTAAAAACAAAAATGTTAATTTTTTCTCTCTTTTCCATATTAACATATATTTGGTAACAAAACTGAAAATCATTAAATAACAATAAAGAAAACTAAAAATTTTCTAATAGTTATTATTTATAAAGTATTTTATTTCTGTTTCCTCATAAACAATTTTCTGGAAAGGTTATTGTAATTTTTCTATTGTGGCTTATATACGGTTGATACTTTGAAAACATATTATATTTCAAAAGGTTATTGATAAGCCGATGGTTCTCTTAGATAAAGCCATGTTATTAATCTTAAAACAAACTAAAGAGCTTCCCATAATGTTTCTTTTTTGTGACTTTAGATTATAATTTTTTTTTGTATAAGACCTAGTCACTTATTTTATTAATTATAGATCAAACTATTTAAGGAATTAATAAATGTTATAACAAAATAAATACTAGAAAACATTACTCTTAATTACATATGCTGTTAATGACTTGAAGAATATAGAAAATGAGTTCAAGAATATTATACACATCAAATGGAATCAAATTGATTGAGTCTGGCTTAATAATTTTAGCTTACAAATATTTAAACGAAATTTACAAATGAATAGCAATTCAAAGGAACTTTCCTAAGTCCAATAGAACCTATATGGAATCATCTAACATTTATACTCTATTGAGTGTTTAAGTATATAGGCTTTGCAACAAGGTGTAAAATGACGTTAACTTAGATAACGGCACGATTTAATGTAAAAATGTATAATCGGAATGTCAATGATCTGCTTATTTATAAAATGCTCAAACCTAAATACTTGTTAGAATAACTTATATCTCAACAAAATAAATTGACAGGCCGTCCAGAGTCTAAAAAATATTATTTACAGAGGAACATATAATATGCACTTAATTAGAATGTTCATAGATTGTGACTAATTAATAAATTTTTCAATTATATCTATTCAGATATAACTTGGAAATTACTAAATTATTTTTTAAGCCTTGAAACTTTTTTATAAATGTCTATTTAATACCACTGTTTTCAAACAGTGTATAAAGTAATAACATCTAATAAAATGAGTTTTAGGACTTTTTTATCATTGTTTAGTTTATTTTTTACAATTGTAAATAAATTATTTTTTATCTATGTATTATGTTTTACGCATGACAAATTTATATTTCTAGAAGGATATCAACGGCTATCTCTTATACTAATTCGTTATAAAATGATAAGAACGCTTTAGATGTCATCCTTATGGTTTTGTTCTACACAACATAAGAAAGTTTTCAGGAAAGACAGACAATTAGGTCACAAATACGAAAGTGACCCTTTATAAAAAATATATTAAATGAAATTGAAACTATTTATGCCACGTATATTAATAGCGGTACATTTCGTGCCACTCCCAAGCTGTTAATCAATATAAATAACGGTTCAACAAACTTATCCCCTTTTAACATTTTTCTGGTGGAATGGTTTTGTGGGTCGGACACTATAACGGACAAGAAAAAAATAGGATAAAACCTTGTTTTAATCATTTTACAATATTAACAAAAAAGTTTT